TATATTATAGTTTTATAAGTCCTATCCATTGCATGTTTATCTAGGAAATTGTTTCGTTGTCTTGTTATGACTTGGCTTTCCCTATAATACAGAGAGGATAGGAACAAATACTCTGAGGAAGAGACCTGAAAAACCCGAGGCTTATTTTGTAGCATTATAATATAAATTCTAGCAATCTATTGCTTGCTGATTAAAATGACTCTGGACTGGTTTCTTCAGCTCAACTTCAGCATATGCAGAGATGGGGACGGCTATCACAAAGGGAATGAGAGATGCGATGGTAGTTGGTATTGTCTTCCCTAATTTGGAACTTGAGGACCTAAAAAGACTCCATCATCCTGTAATGATTTGATTAGTTCTATAATATGCAATAAGTATAGAAAGTGGGTGAAGTTAGGGACAACTATTTGTAAGAAGCTAGAGACAGTTAGATAAGATAGATCTCCAGTGGACTTGCTTTGAAATCTGTATTTCTTTAAATTGTTTTTTTATTTTTTTTAAATGTTCTGTTCTGTTTTGATATGGTTAACCTTATCCTCTTAGAGATGTAAAACAAATAGGTGGGACTGATAATCATATTACGGAGCTTTTGTTCGGCCATAGAGCAGAATGGTTTGTAGGGTCATTTTTTTGAATGTCATTCTATATACTTTAATTCTATAACCTGAACAGCCATTTCGAAGATGACAATTTGTAACTTATCAACTGGCAATTTCTTACCTTTTGTTTGTCTGTAATTTAGTATTATTCCTACCCTTTTTTTTAAATCTCCATGTATTTTTTTTTCGTTTCCTTTTCTTTAAATAAAAAAAAAAAAAACAAAGTGCACTGTGAATCAATCCATTGTGTTACCACTGGATTTTATTTATTTATATTTTGAATGGGAGATCAAATTCTCGACCTCACACTTGCCAGGCAGGCACTTATGCCGCTGAGCTAAATCCCCAACTATCACTTGATTTTAATTGATCATCTATTTGAATTCACTACCTGTAGTTCTGGAAGGTCACTTTATAAACTTTCCTGGAAGCTTATTTCCATTTTCAAAAATGAAGGGAGAAGGCTGGAGTGGTCTAGAAATGGCTTTCAACTGGGAATCTCATTCATAAAGGAACTACGTAGACTAAACCTTAGGAATCATTTTTCCCCCCTCATACAATCTTAATTCAGCTCACAGTATCATACTTAACTTGAGACTCTGAGTAATCTTCATCATTTTAGCAAAGAAAATGTCAGTCACTTAGATGATTAGAGTGCAGGCATGCTGTATACTTTTCCCTACTGAATTTGAATAAAGCAAACACAACCAAATTGACTTATTTGAAAAAATGCAAAATAATAAAATATTGGAGGCTTACAAACATGCCATTCCAGTGTCACAGAAAGAAGCTAACCAAGTCACTCAAGAAACAAAATGATAGCCAGCTCACTACAGATGAATGCCAGGAGATTTCCAGGTAACAGCTTGTAAAATGAGGGTCCCTTTAGATGTAGATGCAAATTTCAACAACCTGGCCATCGGAGAGCAACAACTCTCAGGAATTCCAGAGGAATATGTTCCTAATAAAATTATAAGCCTCTTTCCCATAAATGAATTCTGCTGTTTATGTCATGTTCAATTTTATCTTTGTTTTTGTTTTCTTACTTCAAAAGACGGCTTCAAATCCTCCTGTGTAATTAGGTGGGATTTAAATTGTAAACGCATTATGGGGAAAGGAATTAATATCCTGAGTATCTACTGTGAGTCAGGTACCGTGTCTCTTAAGGCTCATCACCCTGCTCAAAAGCGCTTCTCATTTTGTGAAGTCCCAGGCTGAAGCTCCGAGACATCAGATTTTCGGAGTCTCTGTTCAATGGAGCCCTGTCATCCTGTCTCTGTGCTGGTTAACCTTGCTTTCATTTGAAGACTGAGCTGGAAACATAGCATCTTACATATTGTCACTCAGTAAGGACTGTCATAACCAATGTGCAGTGTCTTTGTCCATTTGCTGTAGCAAACGGCCTCCCATGTCAGGGTTCTCTGACTTTTCCTGAGTCTAACAGGGACTTTCTGTGGGCCTGCACTGAACGGACACGTCATGGTAAGAACGACCTGCTGGACTCGCTTTGGTGCCTGATGATGCAGCAAAAGCTCATCCTCAGTTGTGATCCCCTGCCAGTGGCCTCTCCCTCTGTCGCTGTACAGCAGGAAGCCATGGGTTCCCCTGATCTCTATCTCATCCCTACTTCCCACCTGGAAGAGCAGAATAACGCTGATTATCACTATGTGGAATTTCGGACATGAATGAGGTACCGCACTCCATGCTGCAGGAGCAGCCGTTGGTCGCGGAGTTCTGCCTGCTGTGGCACCAGCCTTTCCTCACCTGATGGCCTCTAGCAGGGATCCCTCTCCCAGTCCCCCCTTCTTCACCTGCAGAGCTCCTTTCAGCTCCCTTTGTTGGTTTGTGTTTGTAGCACTTAGGGTTGAACTCAGGGCCTTTGCACTAAGCTACATCTCTCAGTTGCAATTTCTCTTAGTTGCTAAGTAGCCTGTAATCTAAGTGGGACTCAAACTGGTGATTCTCCTGCCTCAGCTTTCCAGAGGGTGGGGATGACAGGCATGACCAACACCCTACTTCTTTAGGTGTTTAGTCTCCCCCAGGATCACTCTACAACATCTCCCCTGCATGTGTTACTTCCCTTTGTCACACTGTAATATGGTGATCTGTCTATAAACCCATTTTAGCCAACACACTGGGAACTTCTGAAAACAAGGTTCGGTTGGAAATGGAGGATGTGAAATCATTACAAAAGCTTATACCAATTTGATCTTTTGAATTCATATAAGGCATTTGTAATTCTATGACAAAAATTGAAGTGGGAAGATGTGAATTTAGTCCGAAATATAGGCAAGTTATTAAAACAGCAGTAGTATTTATAGATTGCCACAGATTTCTCATAATGTATTAATAGTTTCATGGTTCTCCAGTGCTGGTAAAGCTTTGCTCACAATAAAATCAAGACTATAATCCCTTCAGGTGAATTTAAAAACATTTCACAGTGAGAGATTTGTTTAATTCCTTAGGAATTCCTCTATATTTTGCAATATATTTCAGAAGAGCTGATCAAGGGTATAGGACATTATGGTTATGCATCCACTACTAATGTAAAATGTATGGGATAGGATAGAAATCAGTTTACATCTAACAGGCACCAATATATCCGAAGACATTTTGGAAAGCATTGGCGTTTAGAAATGACTGATTTATATTGATGACCCTTTGTGCTTAAAGACTTCATCAGTTAACTCACTTTTTCTTAAAGGTAGATTTTCTCTCGGTTTTAAAAACTACACAGTGTCATGGTTGCAGAATGTGTTAGGTTCCCTGGGGGACTTGGTGGCAGTGTGATATGTCTTGGTCATTGTGGATCCCCGTGCCCCCTCCTGGCCCTGTGTCCTTCCCTTGTCCATTTTCCCAGCTCTGAACAGTCCGTTTTGGAAATCTTCAGAACACCTCTTGAGCGAGGCAGAGGAACAGGTCTTCCCCAGGATGTATCCTTTTGGTCACAATGAAGGTGGACACTTAGGGACAAAGCCACCTTTCCCCTCTGTTCCCTTAGCCACAGTCATGGATTCCCATGGAAGACAATAAGGGAGCAGGGCTAGAGCCTGGGTGCAAATCCTGCTCTACTTGTGAGCAGTTGAATGTCTGGTCCTGGTTGTGTCTGCTCTCCGTGCCCACAAGCTGCCGGAGCTCCTCTGCAGCATGCCAAGCACCTCTAGGCATGCTGGTTTGATCCCCTGTCCCTGCCTTCCTTCCCTTCGCCTGACTCAGAGACAAAGACCTTGTCTGTGATGCTCCTGCCCACTCTGTCTTTGTTCCCTTAAGAAATGGCAGTCACGATAAGGTTTATGTTTTTCTCCACAGCTGTGTGGTGTGCAGCTATGCGCTTCGCTTCATGCATGCCTGGCCATGCTCCTGACTCCCTCTTTGTGGGGCCAGCGGCTACAGGAAAATTCTGCCCCCAAAGCCTAAGCCTACTTAACACCAAGGCTCAGCCCAGAAAGTGGCGTGCACCACACTGATTGCTCCGCTTGCTAAGCCTAATTTGGCTCACAGAACCAATTTTGAAGAATTTCTCAAGGATTCTAAAAAAAGACAAATTTCCAGTAAGTAGGCAGGTCTGCTGACATTTGATAATATCTAGTTGTCAGGAGGTTTTAAAAGGTACACATGCCCACGACGATTCCCGGATTTGAAAAAAAAAAATCCAGCAGGAGTTAGGGAATGGAAATTAATGATAAAACATTTTTCAAGAGTTTCACAAGAGAACACATAATGGTTAACGTTTGCGTGGCCCGAATTGTATTGGCTAATTAAAGATGTCACTTGGGGGAAGAAGTGGTTGGAAATGTTTCTAGGCTTTTCTTCTCTTTTTTCTTTTCTACAGTTGATAATAAGCCCAGAGACTGGAGGGAAGCTTTCAAGCATTTGTAAAACTGAATCTATTTCCCTTTGGCTCATTATTTACTTAGCTACAGGTCCTTCATTTTGGCAGGAGAAAATGTACCTGTTCACTATCAAAAGAGGCCTATGAATTTCAGCTTTCTTTTATTGCCTTACTATTTCATTTGAGATTTTTTTGTTAAATGAAAAAATTGATGATTTTTCACTACATTAGAGTTCCTCTCAGGTTCTGTGATTTTAGTTTCTGTAATTTAAAGTACATATTGAAAATAAATTGCTTTATCCCTTCACACATACACTCTCAGTTAATAAATCCAGTGGAGATGCTTGATGCAATAGACATCTCTGGAAAATGACATATTTCAGAAACAGCTCTAAAGATAACAATCTGTGAAAATGTCACTTTAAAGATCTCAATCAATCGCAGTGTTCTTATTGCGTAATATTCTTAGTGCCTACTCAGGACTGTGAATTATGCATGCAAGCGATGGTGCTGGCTGTTTCTGTTGTGGAGGTTCCGTTTGTTAACCTACCCTTGCATCACCTGTGCAGGACAAAGCCCAGCTATACCCCCTCCAGCGCCAGCCCCACAGGCTTCAGGACCTGCTCCTACCACACCTACTCTGGAGGGTGAGTATGTTTCTTTGCATAATTTTCTACTGTAGACAAGTTAGAATGTAGAACTCAATAAAACAATAACAAAAGTTTTAAAATAAAATAGTTTTGCATAGGCTAGTTATATGTAAAATACAAATTTACTTTTCCTGGAGTTCTAATTTGTTCCTTTTTAGAAAAGGAAAAAAATTTCCCTGAAGGTTTGATATTGGGGACTTTTGTCTTCTAGAAGGACACTGACTTACAGTCCTGGAAGTCAAACCAGAAAATGTAGAGACTAATACACAGGATATGCCTTGTAACTCTGCAGTTTTACCACAACTCAGTCAGGTTTTTTTTTACGTGAAGACTCTGGCACTAGAGTTTCTGGTTTTGAGTCCAATCTCACCTTTTACAAATGTTCTAAATTTAGAAGTTACATAGGTGTAGTGTTGTGAGTGTTATCCTCTCTAGTATGGAATATGAATAGCCATGACCTGTGAGTATGACACTCACTGGCTGTATGGCATATATATGTACATTCCATGCATTTATATACAGTCTTTAAGTGCTTATGTATGATTAGTAGCAGATGCTATTACTGCAAAGTAGTTCTTCAAAAGATGTTTCAAGAACAGAAAAGTAAAAGGAAGTCAATGCAATGAGGATGAGTTTTATCAGAAATTTGAAGTCCTTTCTTTAAGTCTTATTCTTTCATTCCGTGAGCTGTAATTAGTTATACCGTGACCAGGGCCCATGTCAGACTGTCTTAGTCATTTTCTCATCACTGGGAGAAACACTCACCACCCTCAGCATAAAGGAGCAGAGGCTGATTGGACCCAGCTTCAGGGGGAGTCGGTCTGGGACAGCAGACGTGCCTGGTGGAAAGGGTAGAGAAGGCTGCTCACCCAGCAGTCAGGAAACGGGGCAAAGGGAGGACTGCAGCACCAGGTGCCCCCTTCAGGTCACCCTGCAGGAACTTGCCCTTCTGGCTATGCTCTACTATGCAAGGCACAGTCAACATGAACCCATGAAATGGGCCAATTCATTGATGAAGACAGCACCTCAGCCCGGTCACCTTCAAACACATGAGACTTCTGAAGGACATCGGTTATAACACAGACACTTTCAAAAGTATGGAAATGTAGAGATTAATAAACATTTCCTACCATGCCCGGACTCAGTTCACATATAAAAGCACAGATAATAAATCCAAGAATAAAAACAGAGGTCTTCCCCAGGTCACAGTCCCTTCTAAGTCTGGAGGACTGTGTCACCATTTGCTTCTAAATTATAGCAACCTGTTACAGTAGGTGAACTTCTTTGGCCTAGTCATTTGCACCACTTGAATGAACTGTTGGTTGTAAATTTGAAATAAATACTCCATGGAACTCTGGTCAGCACTGCATTCTTATAGGCAAGAAAGAAAGAATACTCTTCTTTGGTGTCTTGGCACTGTGGTAAAGGTGATGAGCATCTTCTTGAAGACTCTGAAGACACTGCCTTTTGAATATTTACAGGATGGTATAGATGTAGCCCCAGGTGTGTGACTTTTGTTCCTTCCAATCCCTGGTGCACCTCATTTGCACACACAGGTCTTTCCCTTATTTATGTGATATTTGTGCCCATGCGAATGTCTTAGGGAAAGCAAACCTCAGTGCTGCCCCTCCATACCCAACTCCCGCACTTCACCCATGCACTCCCTTGGCTCCAGACACTGTTCCCATGCAAGCAGATTACTCAAAGAAAACTTTCTCTTGATGCAGGATTGCTCAGGTTCCCAATCTGCTTGTTCTCTGAGTCGTCTCCGGTGGTCATAAGTTTCCCCACGTGAGGTGCTTAAACAATGTGGTATGTTTCTCACAGCATCGGAAGCTGGAAGTTCAAAACCAGGATAATTCTTGGCCAGGTTCTGAAGGGGACTTCCTGCCATGTTGCCGTCTTACTATTCATTCCTCACGTGGTGGAGATCAGGGAAAGTCCAGGAGATCTTAGCAGGGAACAGCTCCGTGGACCAGGGCTCTACCCTCGTAACCTCATTCAGTCTGAATCAGTTCTTTCATGGCTCCGTCTCCCACGCCATTCACGTGAAGAGTCAGCATCCAACATAAAAATCTGTGGTGGGCGCACATTTATTCCATGGACTTGGTGACCCAAAAACTTACTTGGTAGATAATTTAAACCGTTTAAAGATTTACCTCCTACAATTAAACTTATTTAAATATTTCTCTCTGAGCTACAAATGAGTTTCACTTTACACACTTGCCATTCATGTTTTTAAGCAGGACACATATTCAGTTTTATCGTCTCTGTAATGCACTTGGAATTGAGTTAAATATTTCGAAAGGTCTTAACTAGTTTCAAATTTAACAGTCTATAATGAAGGCAGCAACAAAAACTGTGAGCAGTCTCATGGATGGCTACTATCCCATGTCATTAACTAAAGATTGAGCAAGTAGTTTAGAACAAATCTAACAGAACTCAATCCAAAAAAGATAAAAGAGAGAGAGAGAGAGAGAGAGAGAAAGAGAGAGAGAGAATTATAAGAGTTATAGTCCTTTTGACATTTGGGCTTTAACAGTTCATGTGACATAAAATTGCCGAGCAACTATCTCCCTGTCCACATGTTCACGGCATCAGGGCAAGCCAGTAAATAATATCCCACAACTGTAAGTTTCATTGGATTCCAGCGAAATGAACATAAATCAAAGATCCCAAAGTCCAACATGAGGCAGACTGCTAGTCGGAGTATTCAGTTTGTCTCCTGCATGCAGAGCTTGTAAAACACCCAGCAGCAAAGATTTTGCATGTTAACTGTCACCTGGAAAAGGATGTGCCATTTATTAGGCTGGGTGCTTAGGCTGGGGCGTGGTGTTGATGGGATGATTATACCTGCCCTTCCATTCTAGAATTCAGTACCATGCCTCAGTGACTCCAAAGGCAGCATTTCAGGATTAGGAGTCTTTGTTGAACTCTCTCTGCTCTTAGTGTGGCACTAGGCAGAGTGCTCAGGCCGAAGCTGAGAGCCTGGAGCAGCTGGCGAGAAGTCCACAACTCAGGCGAGGACGCTGAGATCATGGGCTTTGTCAGGGCTGGCAGATGTGCCGCCTCCGACTGCATTAGCATAATTGATTAGGAACTAGGACATATTTAGTATTAATCAAGCTGTTTTTAGTGAAGCTGATTATGCCAGTCCTCCTGATGCACTATTTTGGTCTGGAACTTCCTTACGGCTAAGTTGCAAGAAAATGGCTTTATGCAAAAAGGAGAAACCTAAATGTAGCACTGAAACAAATTATTGGACTTGAAGAACAAAGAACACAAGTCAAATTGTAGACACTTAAACATATTTTCATTTTAATGTTTTTAAAGCGTGTGATTTATATACAGGCTCCAAGAGTTTGGAAACAATTTGGAACTTCATAAGTAAAATTCTAAAAATTCATGAACCTTCCATGGGCAACAGCACCCTATACATCTGAAAAGCCCCGGAAAGTCTTCTTTATGCCTTCATAGAACTTTAAAAAATTGTTTTTTCACTATGCACATTCTATTCTGGGAAATATCACTGTATTTCTTATCTCAGAACATTTATTAGTGTGCTGAAGTTTTATGTTGCACTTTCTTTGGGTTTTTACTGTTCTCTCTCATAACAAGCTTTGTATACTGCAATAAAGTTTTCATTGTTTTGAACATTTCAGTATAAAGAGACTGGCTATTTATTAAATCACTGTTTCTTTTGACTCCTAGTATATTGTTTACAGTATATTTGGTTAGAAAAAATATTGACTATTGTAACTTTAAATAGATCTCATCTACATAATTGCTTCAAGGAATTGCATTTGTCATTGTTATCAATTTATATTTAATTTTGGAATAGTTTGAGGAGAATTAACTTAAGAAAAGACCTAACAAAAATAGCACTAATTCCCATAGTGTTTCAAAACTTCTTAAACTTCCATACAGATTAATTATGACCAAGGATAAAAAGCGCAGATGCTCACAGGGCCATTCGTTGTGATCCATGGATTATATACTGAAGTAGGGTGTGTGGGGTGCCTCCCGATCCAAGCGGTGCTCTGTGGTGTTAACACTGTGGCTGGGTGTAGCCCTTCACGTGAGTGCCATTTACCATCAAATGTGGGTCAGCATGTTCTCTCACCTCCCACCCCAAGTTCTGCATCTCTCAGGAAAGACCCAGACTCCTTTGCCATGACACAACCCCAAGCAATCAAACAGATAGTCTCAGGTTAGCCAGACCTCAGCCCCCAGAAAGACAGAAAAACTGTTCCCTAAAGTCCTCTTGCACGAATTCTTCTTGGTTGTCCAGTGACTGGATTAAGAAACTCCTGGATGATCACAGAAGCACTATAACTCAGCAGTGCTCAACCCTCCTCTGATGGTCATGGCTGGATGTAGAGGCCCAGGATGAGGGGGCAGTCACTGGGGAGCTCGTGGGGCTCTGTTGCTCCCAGTGCTCATTCCCTCAGCTCTTCCCAGACACCATGAAGCAAGCACCCCTGCACCACCACGTCCTTCTGCCGATGGTCCTGCGTTGGAGCCAGCCAGCCACTGAAATCCCTGAATCTGTGAGGCACAGTAAACTCTCCTCCTTTAACCTGTCTGTGAGAGTCAGGAATATTATACCAGACTGGCAGAGAATGACTGAGTCACGGATGCAGAAGGAAGTAGTTAAATTATGCAGTAATCAGTTCACCAGTCCTCAGCAATCAACTGACTTCCTGGGATTACCATGCCTCACTTGCTAAATGTGCGGCAGGACTTAAACAGTTTGTACCTGTGCCTTCTGTCTTTGAGGCTCTTGGTAAGGAGCTACCGCACCAGCAAAGGGAAGCCTCTGTGCTTTGCTTAGGTAGAAACAGCACTGCAGAGTTGTACAGGATGGTTGTTGCCTCGGTAGATTTGTCAGATTTGTTTGGCAGTGGATAACATTATGAAGCACTATAACTGAAACACAAAAGTGAGTTGTACAGATCGTAAAGGCTGTAAAAGTTAGGGGGAGGATGAGACATGTA